AAGAAACATTTGATCCACCATCTGCACATTTGCAACACATTACACAACAAACATTTTGAATTATAGCACAAGTTATTAATCTAGTAAATCGTAGGTACGAAATCATGCTCTAAAGAAATACAATGAATCTATTGAGCTTCCACTTCTCTATCAACATCATCTTCTGTTTCCATTATCAGCATCCAATGCTTTCAAGTCTTCAACATTGTTGATAATTTATAGCTCGCAGATAAGATCTTAAAATCTGTACTCTAGTGTTATCAATAAGGCAATGATTCATAAATACATATTACGATCTACTTACGTCGTGTAACCTAAATTTTACGCCAAGATTATTGTTTCTGAACTTAATGGACCCACCTCAACTCTATGACGATAGCAAATGCTTACGTAAGGGACGTTTCTAAGCATCGCGTTGTGCTGAACGCGAAGTCATTTGCGAAAGCCTCTTGTCTTAGTAATATTGTCGTACCGAAAGGCCTTAAAATGTACCCTGGTGTCTTGACGTTCGTACGGCAATTACTACGAGATTGTATCTCTATAGCAACAAGAAATTCGATCGACAGTCTCCTCTGTGAGCTCAGCTCGTTGTCTCTCTCTTCTTCTTTCATACTTTAATTCATCACCAAGTCCACAGTTCCACCACATTCAATTATGCTCCTTCTGCAGCCATCAGTTCCTTACTTATTAGTCATCACTGCGGTGGTGGATGCTACCAACTTAAGACAAGAACAACGTCACTTACAGACGTATTCTCAATCAAACGACTATATTTTTGACATGCTCACGCTTGTCAACAATGAGCGAAAAAATGTCGGGTTGCCACCATTGTGCGTCAGTCAAAAACTCAATGATGCGGCTCAACGGCACTCGAATGACCAGGCAGCTAACAATTACTTGGATCACACAGGCACCGATGGAACAAGCGCTTCCGATCGTATCACTCAATCTGGTTATGACTGGGAGGAGGTGGCTGAGAATGTTGCTGCTGGTCAAGCTGACGTTGAGTCAGCCATGGATTCGTGGATGAACTCTTATGGTCATCGAGAGAATATTCTCGGTGACTATACTATGTTTGGCGCTGCTTATGCATACAATCCCGAGAACACAATGCAGCACTACTGGACCCAAGACTTTGGGACGAGTGAAACTGAAAAGTGTGACAGTAAAGCAGAAACGCGGAATGAACTTGTTGATACCAAGACAAGTAGCCAAGCCAAAGATACTTTTACTGTAACAACTGTCGATTCGAAAGGCGTATCCATTGCAAACAAAAGTCCAGTCATGAAGTATAGCTACTATAACGCACAAGGAAGTGAAGCACCTCGCACGGAGACGCCTATCGTTAAGGTCGAAAAGACGAACGTCCCTTTAAGAAACGCTCCGATTATCATGGTCGACCCTCCGAGACACGATGTGTACCGAACAAAGGCACCTATTAATGTCGATCCTTTACATACTGAAGTCTCGGGTGATCATCAAGAATCTGTCATGCGACCGCAAGTGCAAGAAATTCCTACAATCGCAATGAATTCTCGTGGAACTAAAACTCTCGAAGCAGTGTACGACACCTCGAATGCCCACAATCCATCGACTAAAGAGGTTCCTTATGGCAAAGACTGTGTCTAAAAAATCTAAAGACACTGAGTCGCATACGCATACGTTTTCTTTGATCCTATTGCATATTTGTTGGTCGCCTACAATAAATCGGAGGTAGTTTCTTTTGTGGGTAGAACTCAGCGGTAACGTAAATCAAGAATTTTCTTTTTGAAAGCTTCCGGTCATAGTTTCATTATCATTGCATATGACGCAATTCATCTGACTTGTTTACCAATCTGTTCTAATATGCTGTAGGATTTCTAATCCCCGGAGATTCCTCTACACAGCTGGTTATTTGATCTGTTGAGTCGATCTCAATTCTTGAAGGTATTTGATCATCGTATCACTATTCAATCTCTCACCATATAACTAATCACCATAATCTGTTCGTAATGGCTACAAAGAAAGAAACGTGTAATTTGACCTCTCGACATTGTAGCTTCTAACAGTCAACAGTAATCGATGGTGTTTGGTTTCAGTAACAATCGTGCTGCTCGTCTCTTACTCTTCTTTGTATCGATACAAAATTTCGACATGGTGCTTACCAAATCATGAATCAAGATGAAAGGAATAGCTGAATGGTCGTATGCTTACAATGCTAAGACCAAATTTTATTATCTCTTGTCAAAGGCAATTTGTTCACAACGAGCGGATGGATCAGAACGAGGTGTCATGTTCTATTTGACTCCGTCATTGAGCAAACATCATTCGCATGCTGCACATCTTTTATTTCGTCGATGTGTGAAGCAGTTGACGATCCTTTGCATGCCTAGTCATGATTATATGACTAGGGACTCTTTGAGATGTATTTTTACCTGTAAAAGTGTAGCAAGAAATGTGTATGCTTTACAACAATCGCTACAGATCTTATCTTTCAATTCTTTTCAGGGTAATTGTCGAACTGGTATGGAGCATGTTCTCCATGTGGTAATACAAACGTCTGCATAGATTCTTCTACGTCATATACCAAACAACAGTGATCAATCTTAAAATTGCTACCTACGACAACAACAACAAAATGGTGACTTATTCCAAACACTCGTGTGTAGCATTCCTCGTCGTAGTCACAGTTTCGAACAACGTCTCTGAAGCTGTCAAAGTGCGTCATCTCCAGCAAAGTTCTGATGTTACAAACTCACAACTTGGTGACTATCGATCGGAGATGCTAGCTCGCATTAATAAAGAGCGTGCTGCAGCTGGTCTCTCACCACTCTGCTTTAATCAAAAGCTTCAGTACGCATCACAATCACATTCTGACGACATGGCTCAGAATGCTTTTATGGCTCACGTTGGAAGTGATGGATCATCGGTCGCACAGCGTATTACCGATGTCGGTTTTGCTTGGAATAAAGTCGCAGAGAACGTCGCGGCTGGTCAAGAAAGTGTGCAATCCGTCATCGACGCCTGGATGCTTTCACCTAAGCATCGTGAGAACATCATGGGTGACTTTACAATGCTTGGTGTTTCGCATGCTTACAACGCTAACAGCGACATGAAACATTATTGGACCCAGGACTTTGGAAATGGAAACACGGAATCGTGTGATCCGGTGTCAGGAAGCCTGGAAACTGTGCAGGTCTCTGATCTAACACAGGTTGCTCAAAACGATGACCATGTCCAGATCAGCACCGAAAATCAAGTCCAGGTCAACACCAACAATCAAGTCCAGATCAACAACGACAATCAAGTCC